TGGCTTATCCCAGTTTCTGCGGAGTGAATTGACAGGGAGTATTGCTTTTCTTCCTGACAGAATCCATGTCTAATTGAAGAAATCTATACCTTCCCATCCCCTCCCCTCCAACATTATGTCTGATTTTGTTGAGAGTTTTCTGTTATCGAATTTCTGGAAGCAAAGAGATACTTTTGGTTTCAATAATTGTACTCTCTTCTTGAAGAGTTCAAGAAATCATGGATGATGACCAACGTGAATCTGGAAGAATTCCAAGAACTGTTGAGTGTGAGCTGACAGCAGATCTAGGTATGAATAATTGAATATCTTAATTTGGCATGTGAATATTTTTTCCCCTCATTCTGAAGCCTATTTGAAAATTTAATAGTGCTAAGGAGTTTTGTATATCAATTAGATCATCTTTTCTAAGTGTGTAACTCTTATTCCTATCATGATATAAGATTCTATCCAAACAAATGTGATACCCAGGTTTGTTTGCTCTGGAATATGGCTCAGCTACTAGTTACAGCAAAGAATGTTATGTATCTTTTCCCTGTTAATAACTAAACTTGAATTTATAGAAATGAATAAAAGTCAAACTTGATTTCCTGTCTAGCAAAGCTTGCTTGTAAGAAAATTTATGACCTAAGTTAACATGTTTTTTTTTTCCTTTGCTGTTTTTTTTTTTCCAGTGGACAGCTGTGTTCCAGGTGACATGGTCACTGTCACCGGGATCGCAAAGGTTACCGGGACAGAAGAACGTAGGTAGTCTGAGCAAAGTACTGTGGAGCAAACACATCCAACTGTCTTTCAAATCTTTTTTTTATACAAGCGTTATCATTAGAACAGGGTGCTAGTGAAATGAAATCTGTCGATGAAAATCCAAACAATTTCAAAGGAAAACAAACAATTGCAGTTCAAAGAAACAGTTTGTCTGTGAAATTGCAATTATTGGTCATGCAACTGCAAATTGCCAAGTCAATGAGGTCTTTGGACCATGTTTAATAATGGGATTTATTACATGACTCGGGCAGTCAGAGGGCCAATAACTAAAATCTTGACCAATCAAGATGCTCTATTGCCAGTCCAATATTCTCTAAGTATTGGACCAGGCACTGTCCCGAATGGTCCCGAATGATACCGCACTTGTGTCCCTTTGAACTTCGGTTGTATAATAAATCTCTTATTGACCAAGCTTGCTCCGGACCATACTGGAAGAATATCAGCCCTCGGTCTTTTTTATATGGACCTTGCTGCGCTCAGTCTGTACTGTCAAGACCTCAGGCCGATATTCTTCCAGTATGGCCCTCGCGCTTGGTTAATAAGATATATATATTTTAAGAGTCACAATGTATGGGCAGTTGACATATCTTCATGTACCATTATTCAAAAATTATATCTGCTGGTACGACTGGTAAGCCCTTGTCAAACATACATCAGTTTGACCATGTTCAGTCCTTGGGTCCTTAGAAAATTGATTCACTTCTCCATAGTATGTGTTTCCCAATGAAAGTAGAGCTCTTTTGTACCTCTTTGCATCTGATTTTAATAACAGTACATTTCCAAACTTTTTTATTGGTAGATCGGAACAAGAGTAATAAAGACAAGTGTATGTTCCTGCTTTACCTCCATGCCAATGCTGTGAATAATAACAAGGGTGGAACTGGGTCTGCTGAGCAAAGCAGTGGACTGGCCATGGAATTTTCTATTAAGGTTTTTCATATACTCTGTATATACTCTCGGTGTATTCTAAAAATCCTTCTTGCTTTAAAATTATTTCTATTATAACCATAAAAAATTTCTGCTTTTATCTAGTTGTTCACCTATAGTATGCTACCTTTGTGACATTTATAATTTATGTCATGCTCATTGTCTAACAATTGAAAGTTAGTTTTAGGAAAATAAATGTTTTTCTGAACTGGAATTTTTTACTTTTTTTCTCTTTTGATAGGAACTGTATGCCATTCAAGAAATTCAGGCTCAGAAGAACTTGTTCCGATTGATCGTTGGGTGAGAGTACAATTGCAGTGCATTTTAATTTAAGTTGGGTTGTTTCTTTATTCTCAAATCCCCCTAAAATGTATTCTGTGTATGTCCACACTTTACTTATTTATTACCAAGACGATCAAATAGAATATTCAATAATTTAAAGAACAATGTTGGACTACATCCTGCTTATAATCAATTCTTAATGCTCAGGGTTCAACATTAACTTTTCAATGTACTAGCCAAGTGGCTATAGTCACTGCGATAACTTAGATGTTACGCCAATTTCAGTTTGTTTACTAGCCAAACTGGCTGGTGGAAATGGAAAACCACTAGCCAAAACTGAATTTCTACTAGTCTGTGGCTAGCTGGCTACTGTTAGTGTTGAGCCCTAACACTCCAAGATATGTTTTGAGAGATTTGCAAAATTAAGGCAAATATGAATTGAAAGTACCAAGGATTTAAGTCAGTTATTAATTGAAATGAGAGAAGTGAGCTTTTTTCAGTAATACAGTTTCTACATCATTTCCAATCACAGCTCTTTGTGCCCTTCAATCTATGGACATGAGGTAAATTGTTGTTTGATTTACATACTTTGGAGATGTCTCAGGCTGAGTAACCAAAGGGAAATTTAATTCTATAAACCTCTTTTATCCTCATTTCTTTCAACAGATGGTGAAAGCAGGTTTAGTGTTAGGTCTGTTAGGTGGAACCCAAAGATACTTGAATGATAAGGTACATTTTTAATTTGCTACCTTTTTTCGGCAAGGGTACAAATGTTCACTGTATACCTTTACAATATAGCTTGGACACATCGGACATGTACTTTACTTCTCCTTATCCCTGTATTGCTGACCCTGTCATCATTGAGTCTTTCTGTTTCTTTTGCCTTCTTTTGTTTTTTTCTGATTTTATAAATCCCATCTTTCAGTCTTCTGACCCAATGTCTAGCATCGGGGTCTCTTACTATCAGTTTTGAAAGCAGGCGACCATTGTTCTTCTGCAGTTAAGGATGGTTTTTGTATTGTTCAAATTTCCCTGTCATGCCTTTCTACCTTTTCCCCTTCCAATGATCAATTGAGTGTTGA